TGCGCGCTATGTCTAGTCAGCGTCTTGTCCTAGGCCTCCCACGTGTCTTGCCGTCGCTGCCGCCTTCGCCTGCGCCGCCGTGTCGTCCCTGCGTCGAGGGTAAGCTCCGCGCCACCCCTCACTCCTCCTCCCTTCGTCCGGCCACCGAGCCTTTTGAGACGCTTCACTTGGACGTCTGGGGCCCAGCCCCTCGTCTAGGCCCTGAGCGTGAGCGTTACTTTCTGGTGGTAGTTGACGACTTCTCCCGCTACACCACAGTGTTCCCTCTGGCGAAGAAGTCTGAGGTGACTTCTACGCTGATCAGGTGGTTGCTCACCACTGAGGACACTCGTGGTCGTCGTGTCAGCTGTCTCCACTCCGACCGTGGGGGTGAGTTTCGCTCCGGCATTCTCGCTGGATTCTGTCGCGAGCAGGGCATTCGTCAGTCCTGGACGCTTCCAGAGTCCCCACAGCAGAATGGGGTTGCTGAGCGCCGCATAGGCCTGGTCATGGAGATCGCCCGCACCTCCCTGACTCACGCCTGTGCCCCCCATTTTCTGTGGCCCTACGCGGTCAGGTACGCCGCGCACCAGCTGAACCTCTGGCCACGTGTCTCTCGACCAGAGGTTTCACCGACCAGTCTTTGGACAGGGTCCCCTGGTGTTGCGTCGCGGTTTCGTGTCTGGGGGTGCTTGGCTCTTGTCCGCGACACCTCCGCGGACAAGCTCTCGCCTTGTGCCGTCCCCTGTGTCTTCCTTGGTTTCCCTGAGGACTCCTCTGACTTCACCTTTTACCACCCTCCCTCTCACCGGTTCTTTGACTCCCGTGACGTCCGTTTCGAGGAGTCCACTCCGTACTACATCAGGTACCCCAGTCAAGGTCTCCCGGTTCCTCCTCCCCCCCTCTTCCTGACTGCCGTTCCCCCTCCTGCTCCCCCGGTACAGCCTCCCCCCCCTGGTCCAGCCCTGTCAGGTGTGTCCCAGGCTACCCCTCCTCCTTCGGTAGCCCCTCCGGTACAGCCTCCCTCCCCACAGTCCTCCTCGCAGCGTGCCGCTGGTGCTAGCTCTCGAGAGGTTGGTGCGGCGCCTGTTCCTGTACCGGTTTCTGGTTCTGGGGGTGCTGGAGTTGGAGCTGGAGTTGGAGCTGGAGTTGGCACTGGAGTTTCTAGTTCTGGGGATACTGGAGTTGGAGCTGGGGTTGGAGCTGGAGTTTCTGGTTCTGGAGTTGGAGCTGACCCGGTGGGTGCAGAGGACTCTTGTCGTCCGGGAGCTGGTGCTGGCCGCGCGGACACTGGGGGTGCTGCGTCTGGGGGTGAGGGTGCGCCTCCTTCGGGTTCAGGTGAGCCTGGTTCTGGAGCTGGTGTTAGTGCTGCCTCTGGGGGTGGTGCGCCTAGTTCTTCTGAGGTGGACTCTGGAGCTGCCGCTGCTTCGGACACTACTCCACCCCCCCACCCCTACCCGACTAGGCACCAGGCTCGTGTTCGCCGTGCCCGTGACGAGCAGCTGGCGTTGGAGAGAGAGGAGAGGGAGTTACAGCGGCTGGAGGAGCAGCAGCAGCAGCTGGAGCCGCAGGAGCAGCAGCAGCAGCAGCAGCAGCTGGACCCGCAGGAGCAGCAGTCCCAGCAGCAGCCGCGTCCGCAGCAGCAGCAGTCGCAGCCGCAGCAGCAGCAGCCACTTCCTCCTCCTGTCTCGGGTCTTCGGATCCTTGGTCTCCCCTCCCCTTCTCCTCCCTCCTCCGCCTCTCCTCCTGTCTACGGTCCCACGTTTCCTCCTCCTGACTCCTCCCCCGCTGTTTTCCCCAGTTCTCCGCCTTTGTCCTCTCCTCCTCCGTCTCGTTCTTGGGCTACTCGTCGCTCCCCTCGTGCTCGTCCCTCGTCTCCTGTTCCCTTCACTGACCTTCGTACTGCCTTCCTTCTTTCTAGTCCACCTCGTCTGTCTCAGTCTGTGCTTCCGTCTCCTCCTGAGTCGGCCCTCACTGTGTCGCTCCCTACTCCTGTCACTGACTACTACCGCACGTACTGTCCTGTTCTCTCTCGTGTTCTCGCCTCTCTTGTTACTCACCCTCGTGCCTCTGTGTCCTCTGTGTCCGCTCTTACTGCCGCAGTTACTGACTTTGCCTCTACCCGCCGCCTTGACTACGCCACCACGCTTGTGGCTGCTCCTCCTACCAGTCCTCTGGCCGTCGGGGGTGTGTCTGCCCTTGGCTGTGACGCCCTAGAGGACAGGCAGTTTGAGCTAGAGTTCCTGGCGGCCGCTTCCCCTCATCTCTGTGCCATGCTCCTCGCCCCTGAGGGTGACCCCGACGCCCTTGACATTCCGACTCCTCGCACTTACGCTGAGGCAGTGTCAGGGCCTTGGGCCTCTCAGTGGAGAGCTGCCATGGACGCAGAGATGGCCTCCTACAGATCCACAGGCACCTACGTCGATGAGGTTCCCCCCCCTGGGGCGAACGTAGTCGACGGCATGTGGATCTACAGGGTGAAGCGGCCACCGGGATCTCCCCCGGTCTTCAAGGCGCGCTACGTGGCTAGAGGTTTCAGTCAGCGCGAGGGAGTTGACTTCTTTCAGACCTTCGCACCTACCCCGAAGATGACCACTCTTCGGGTGTTACTACACGTAGCAGCACAGAGAGACTACGAGTTACACTCTCTCGACTTCTCCACTGCTTTCCTTCAGGGCAGCCTACACGAGGAGGTCTGGTTGCGTCGTCCCTCGGCCTTCACTGGCACCTTCCCTCCTGGGACCCAGTGGAGGCTGAGGCGACCTGTTTACGGTCTTCGCCAGGCCCCTCGTGAGTGGCACGACACTCTGCGTTCTACCCTCTCTGACCTTGGGTTCCAGCCGTCTTCTGCCGACCCGTCGCTGTTCGTTCGTCGTGGCTCCACACCGTTCTTTGTTCTGGTCTACGTCGACGACCTCGTTTTCGCCACTTCGGACAGGGTTGCTTTGGCAGACGTGAAGTCCGAACTGCAGAAGAGACACACGTGCACTGATCTTGGTGAGCTGCGCCACTACCTTGGCCTGCAGATCACCAGGGACAGAGCCGCTCGCACCATTACACTCTCACAGTCACACATGGTGCAGCAGGTCCTTCAGCGGTTCGGGCTTCAGCACTCCACCGTACAGCGCACACCTCTAGCTGTTGACCACAGACTCACTGGTCCCTTTCCTGACGAGCCGTTTGAGCCTAGTGGTCCCTACGCAGAGCTTGTGGGTTGCCTCATGTACCTGATGACTTGTACTCGCCCGGACCTCGCCTTCCCTCTCAGCATCCTTGCGCGCTTTGTTGCGCCAGGGAGACACCGTCCTGTTCACTGGACGGCAGCTGTGAGGGTGGCGAAGTACCTAGCGACTACATCAGGCGTGGGGCTAGTTCTTGGAGGGCAGCAGTCTGTCGTACTCACTAGTCACTGTGACTCCTCTTACGCTGACGACGCTGAGACTCACAGGTCTACTCAGGGGTACTGTTTCAGTCTGGGTTCTGGAGCTGTTTCCTGGCGTTCCACGCGCTCCTCTTCTGTCTCGACCTCTACAGCTGAGGCTGAGATTTACGCTGGTGCCATGGCGGCACAGGAGTTACGGTGGTTGACCTTCTTGCTCGCCGACCTTGGTGAGCGGCCGAGCTCTGCACCGACCTTGTTTACTGACAACAAGGCGTCGATCCTCCTCTGTCGTGAGCCGCGACTGGAGAGCAGAGTGAAGCACATTCACGTCAGGTACTTTCTTCTGCGAGAGTTGCAGAGGCGTGGACAGGCTCGCTTCGAGTTTGTAGAGTCCGAGGCCAACACTGCAGACATCTTCACCAAGGCGCTTCCGCCTTGTGACCACCAGAGGTGTTGTGTGCAGTTAGGCCTTGTTGACACAGGTTCTAGTCATGCGTAGACTTGAGTTTATTGCCTGCTTCGTCTGTACACTTACTATATATACTTGTGATCTCTTGGACTGGCCTTGTGGCCACTGTTGCTTGTGCTCAGAGTGTGTGGTGACGTTGTGATCCACCCTGAGCTTTGTTTTCTTTTGGACTGGTCTTGTGACCGTACTCTTTTTTGTTTTTGCTAGGCACCCCTCACTTAGGCTATGGGGGTGTGTCAAATGTTGTAGCCTGTAGTGAGGTTTGTCTTAGGGGGTACAGAAGTTAGGGTTTGTCATATGTACCCCAACCAACATCAATGCAACATCCATTCCTCATTCTGACAGTGACGTCGATGTTTTCGGCCATGACGAAGGGCGTCGGCTCGTCTTAGTCTAGGCGCAGTCGTGGCTGCACGCGTTTACGAGAGAACGCGAGGACAGCGGCTCCTAGGGGCTAAGGTGCGTAAGTCCCTTCGAGTGAAAAATCAAAAGTTGATTTCCTGGTGTGCGGAGATGCGCGGTCCGAAAGAAAGGGGCTCTGATAACCAAGTGTTACGGGTGCAATGAATTGAGGTAGCGAGAATTGCACTAAGGTGTCAAACGAGTACAAAATGTGAGCGAAGGCATGAGCGAACATTTATACGCGAAACATGCAAAACGGTAACGCGGTGCGTGCGAGCTTGCTAGTGCTACGCTGGAGCGAGGCTCGGGCTAGTCCCGAAGCGTAGGCCGATACGGCCATGCCAGCAGTGCGAGGTTTGGCAAAACAGTGCGCGCGAAGTCGGCGAAGTCCCGTTAGCAGTAACGGGCAAACAATCGGCTGTTGCTGTACGCGATGTAGTCGGCTCCGTAAGGAATGCCGAGAAAATTCCTTACACCAACCAACATTCTCCAATTCACCACATCTCACCATACCGTGCACTGTCGAGATTATTCCTCAGTGTCTTCTGGCCTCTGCGACACCGCAGCTATTTTGCGACACAAAAAGTGAGCTGCAATTCAGTGCGACGTTTCGTCCGGTTGTCTGCGCTCCTCCCGCGGTAACGAGAGCGGTTTTTCCCCAGGACCAACGCATCAGCAGCACAGCTCGTCTTCACTTCGCACGACTTTTAGCAGGCGTTACTCCGTTTAAACCAACAGCGCATTCTTGTCCCACCTCAGACGCCGCTTATGGCGGACCACCAGGGCGAGGAGCACGAGGGAGTGGCGGATAGAAGGGGCGGGCTGGCGCACGGCTCGAAAGAGAAGAAACCGCGGTACGGATGGGAGGGATGAAAGGGACTTGGGGGCTGGAGGGAGGAGGGCGCTGCAGGGGAAGTATGGGGATGTCAACGATGAGTAGTGGGAGGAACACCCCACAGGGATGTCAACCTGCTATCTCTCCCCCTCCTCTTCGACTCACCGCACCTCCCTTCCTTGTCATCCCACGTGCGCTACCCACGTGCTGCTTCTCATCTACCCCCTCCCCACGTGCTCCCATGTTACCTTCACAGCAGTCCTGTGCGCGCCCGTCGCCCTCCGATTTGCGCTCTTGACCTCGCTCTTGTTTTCTTGCGCGCATCCTGCAACCATAAAACCTTCCGGCGGCTGTGTGTCCGTGTGTGCGAGTGGTAGAGGGAATGTGTATCGAAATGCGCGTTGGCGAACGTCTGTATGTTACTGCGTGCGTGCGTCCGTGAATCACGAGCCTCCACGCGTTTCCTGTTTGCCACCATGAACAATCACGCGCGATTGTGTGCAATCGTGCCAATGCATGCATACATGCGTGCGTGCATTCTTGCGTGGTGCGTGAGTGCACCAGGCGCAAGGTGCAGTGGGACGAGGGCAATCTGACGTACAACGAGGAGCACAAGAGCGCCACCATGACCATCGACGAGCCCAAGACGCCCTTCCACCAGCTCTCCCTCGACCCTGACGAAGGTCCCTCCCTCCCTACCCGCCCACGCCCTCGGCCTCGCCCTCGCCCGTGCTACACTCTGAACCCTGCTTTTCCCTGCCTCGCCTTGTTTTGTCACTTTGCTGCTACTCCTTTCTCCACCTCCCACCTTCCCTTCATTTCTTGACATTATCTCCTCCCCCCATTTTCCCTTCCCGATCCCAGTAACCATTCTAATCCATAGACTCAGCTCCGTTCCCCTCTTTATCCAATCCACCCTCTCACCCTCGATCCGATCTATGCCTGACTTCCCCTCCTCTCCCCGCTCTTTCCCCTCACCCCCCCTCTTCCTCCTTCCCTTCCCAGCGGCTGCTCTCTCCCCTGTGCTGCCGCCCGTACCCGACCCCGCTCACAGCATTGCTGCCCAGGCTGACGTCATCCAGGCCAAGCTGGCAGAGGTTGCTGCTACGTCAGCTGCTGAGGGTGCATGTGACAGGGCGGATTTCGAACGTGAGTGGATTGGCAGTAGGTGAGGCCAGCAACAGAAGAGCTTGGAGGTGTCTCGAAAAACATTAGCTAGAATAACCAAGACAGGAACAATCTCTCCAGAATTTCGTTCTTAACGGATGAAGAGTGGATGGAAGGGAGGAGGATGTGTAGGGAGGAGGAGTATGGAACTGTTGCAGAGTGGATTCGTGTGTTAGACAGACAATAACTTTCTCGTTACACGTTTCTCGTCATCCTGGTCTTATGGCCCACTTCCTCCAAGCAATCCATTGCACAAACCCTCGGACCCACAATGCACCCATCCCTCCACTCCCTTCGTCTCCCAATCCCAAGCACATGCCATATACATATCCACCCTGTCACCCAGGCCCCCTCTTCCCAACCTTGTCTCATGGTCCCTTGGGATCCCCAACCCTCCCCCTGTGCGTCTTCCCGCTCAGGCTGGATGCAGGAGCGTGGCCAAACACTTGACCCTAGCACTTTCCGTGCTAATGCTGGTATGCTCCCCTTTGATTGAATCGGCCAGGCCTAGCCTCTCTGACCTAGTTTTCAATTATCGAACACACCCACACGCACACACACACACACACCGCACGCGCGCACAGACACACATGCACACATACCTTTTTTTTCCTTCTTCTGCCTGCTCCCCTCTCCCCTCTCTCCCCTCCCAACCTCCCACTGTCTCTCTCCACCCTGTGTGTTCCCTGTTCCCCATCTCTCCTCCTCCCTCTCCGCCAACTCTCCCCTCTCGCTCCCACCTGCCACCCAAAAACCCACCGCTAGGCGGGGAGGGCGGTGGCGAGGGGGGCGGTACAGATGATGACTTTGAGGAGCACAGGAGGCGGCACTATGACGAGTTCAAGCGGGTCAAGGAGCTCCTGGCTAAGGGGGCTCTTGACGACGACGAGGAGGAAGAAGAGGGGAAGGGTGAAGGGGAGGAGGGGGAAGAGGGCAAAGCACAGACGTCGTGATGTGAAGCAGCGTGGTTCAGAAATTAAGTTTCTGGGCAAAACGAGGTTGTTACCTGTATTTACTCTTTAAAGACGGGTGTAGTCTATGCCAAACATTAGAGGAATAATATTGTGAAAATTCTTAACAGTGGCTTGCCAAGATGGATTTAGTTTGCAACATTATAGACTGCTCGCATGCTCCACTAAACTTGCTCCTTGCAAACTTCCAATACAATAAATGCTACAATAAGTTCACAAAATGTTTTGAGTTTTTCTGCACACTACGGAAGTCCATGAGCGGGGCTTCAGCTATCAAGCTGGTCAGACTGATGTAAGTTTATTGGCCTATCATTTTTACCTAGTACCGTATGGCGGATTCGCACACATTTTCGGTTGGCATGCAGATTTAGATTACCCACTATTGAGACAAATTGTTAGAGGGGTGTTTACTGTTCATTCCAAACAGTACATTCCTAGTCACCATTATCCTTATCTTCTCAGATTCTCTAGTGCCACGTGGCACTCTACTTTTCTTGCACTCCAATTCTTGGTCCCACATTCCACTTTCCAACCTTGTTTCTTGCATGCTATATAAACCTTGCTTGTACTTGCCATTATCAATCAATTCTCATTCAACTCTTCTTCAATTACTTAGTAACTTCTTCGCCTATTTCGCCAATAGTTCTTTCGCCAAAGTCTTCCGCCCCGTTTCATCTTCGACTTAGTCGACCCCGCTAATTCTTTAGCGGACTTAGGCCGTCGGGCCTAACACTTGGTATCAGAGCCTTCGCGGGGAGCGACTTCCAACGAGCGACCGTCGACGACGAGACTACGACGTCATCGTCCCGCGGTGAACGCCGCGCACTGAACGCCGCACTGAACGCCGCCACCGTCAAGAAAAGATTCCCGGTGCCGAGAGTAGAGGATCTTCTCGATGCAGTGCAGGGCGCTAGAGTCTTCTCAAAGATCGACCTTCGTTCGGGTTACCACCAGATTCGAGTAGTTCCAGAGGACCAGCACAAGACGGCGTTTCGTACGAAGCAGGGGTTGTACGAGTTTAGGGCTCTACCGTTCGTATTGACCAACGCCCCAGCGACGTTTCAGACGCTCATGAACACAGTCCTCTCCGAGTTCCTAGGGTCGTTCGTTGTCGTTTACCTAGACGACATCCTAGTGTTCTCTAAGACGAAAGATGAGCACGTGCAGCACTTGCAGAAGGTCTTCGAGGTCTTACGGAGGGAGCAGTTATACGCTAAGCAGTCGAAGTGCGAGTTCTTCCTTCCAGAGGACGAGTTCCTAGAACACGTCGTATCCGCTAGTGGCATTAGGACTGACCCGAAGAAGATCGCAGCAGTACAGGATTGGGTAGCACCGACCTCAGTCAAGGAGTTGCAGAGCTTCCTCGGTTTCGCGAACTACTACCGTCGTTTCGTTCAGGGTTACGCATCGATCGCTAGTCCACTCACCGACCTACTTCGGAAGGGCGTAGAGTACGTTTGGGGACCAGCGCAGCAACAGGCGTTCGAGCAGATGAAGCAGTCGCTCACGTCCTCACCGACACTGTCGTACCCTGATCCCACTCGTCCATACGTTGTAGTGATCGACGCTTCTGATCAGGCCATAGGAGCAGTGCTTCTTCAGGACCAGGGACGCGGGTTGCAGCCGATCGCGTACGAGTCGCGTAAGCTTAGGGGAGCGGAGTTGAACTATCCCATACACGACAAGGAGGCGCTCGCGATCATCCATGCGTATAAGGTGTGGAGGTGCTACCTAGAGGGGGCAGATAGTGTTATACGCACGGACCACTGTTCGCTTCGTTTCCTCAAGTCGCAGCCGCAGGTGAGTCGTCGCCAGGCTAGGTGGATGGAGTTCATGGAAGGGAGCTTTCACTACAGGATAGAGTACAAGCCAGGCGTGCGCAACCCAGCAGATCCGCTCACTCGCCCTAGTTGTGAGCTCGCCAGTCTCACAGTTACTGCTGGCCACCCACTTCTCATAGCACTCTTCGAGCACGGTTACACAGTAGATCCCGACTTCACACCGCAGCCGCTCGCAGGAGCAGAGGTGCAGGGTAGTGTCTACATACGGAAGGGTACCACACGGATTTGGGTTCCAGCCTACCGCCCTCTTCGACAGCTCCTTCTCTCAGAGGCGCACGATGTAGTTAGTGCAGGGCACTTCGGAGCAGATAAGACGGCTAAGACGCTTAGTCGCACGTACTACTGGCCCGGGCTTGCAGCAGACGTAGAGGATTACATTCGCTCGTGCGACACGTGTCAGCGTACGAAGTCCTCTCGCCAGCGCAAAGCAGGACTCTTGCAGCCGATTCCACCGCCCGACCGCCCTTGGCAGGTAGTTACCATGGACTTCATCATGGCTTTACCGCGCACAGTTAGGGGTCACGACGCCATCTTCGTAGTAGTGGATAAGTTTTCTCGAGCAGCGCATTTCATCCCCACGCACGGCAAGGTCACAGCAGAGGAAGCCGCGACGCTGTTCGTAGATAACGTAGTCCGACTGCACGGGGTTCCAGATTCCATCATCTCAGACCGCGACCCTCGTTTCACTTCGAAGTTCTGGAAGCAGCTTTTCGCACTGTTTGGGACTCGCTTAGCCATGTCGTCTGCGTACCACCCAGAGACAGACGGACAGACCGAGCGTGTGAACCAGACCTTGGAGCAGATCCTTCGCAGCATCACGATGCACGACGCAGCCGCATGGGACAAGAAGCTGAGCATGGCAGAGTTCGCCTACAACAACACGCACCACTCCGCCACAGGCATGTCACCGTTCTTTGCACTTTACGGTCAGCACCCCAATGTCCCCACTCGTGTCGATCTCACACCCACAGTCCCTCGTGCGGACAACTTCCACCAGCATCTCACCTTCATTCATGATCACGTGAGGAAGCACCTTGAGCTCGCAAATGCACGCATGGCACGCACCACCAACCGCAGTCGTCGTGAGGTGTCGTTCGCAGTCGGCGACCGTGTTCTCTTGGATAGCCGCAACCTCCGACTGCCACAGGACAGCAAGCTTCGTCCACGTTTCATTGGTCCATTCGTCATTGAGCGCGCACTAGGTCCAGTCGCATACCGCCTTCGCCTTCCCGCACATTTCCGCATGCACCCGTCATTCCACGTGTCTCTCCTTCGCCCATACACCGATCCCAATGCCACCTTCTCGGGCCGTGATCGCACTCCACTGCCGGTAGCTGTTGACACCGACGAGCCCGACTACCAGATCCAGCGCATCCTCAGGCACCGTCGCCGTCTCCAGGGGGGTGTCACTTTCATCGACTTCTTGGTTCGTTGGCGTGGTTACGACGCAGCAGACGACAGCTGGGTTCCTTCGTCCTCGCTGTCTCCTGACAACGCTTGCCTCCAAGCGTACCTTCAGTCTGCAGGCGCCGCGGACGTCGCCTTCTTGGGCGGGGGGTAGTGTTAGAGGGGTGTTTACTGTTCATTCCGAACAGTACATTCCTAGTCGCCATTATCCTTATCTTCTCAGATTCTCTAGTGCCAAGTGGCACTCTTCTTTTCTTGCACTCCAATTCTTGGTCCCACATTCCACTTTCCAACCTTGTTTCTTGCATGCTATATAAACCTTGCATGCTATATAAACCTTGCTTGTACTTGCCATTATCAATCAATTCTCATTCAACTCTTCTTCAATTACTCAGTAACTTTTTCGCCTATTTCGCCAATAGTTTTTTCGCCAAAGTCTTCCGCCGCGTTTTATCCTCGACTTAGTCAACCCCGCTAATTCTTTAGCGGACTTAGGCCGTCGGGCCTAACACAAATATTCTGTTGTATTAACAGGACGACATTCAACTAAAGAAAATCATTTACAGAGAAAAATAAGTACCACAAATGCCATAGAGAACGGGATCAAGAATCCAATGCCTAGCAGGGTCCAAAATTGACTGGGGGGGCAACAAAGCACCACCTCCCAAGTGCGATAATGGGGGTAGGAGCAGCAAGCAAGTATAAGCAGCCGGAGAGCATGCTCATAACGAGAAAGCCACTGGATTGCAGCTGAGGCAAAATTGGGGCTGCCTGTCCATCCACTGCCAGCATGACAGTCAGAGGACAGGGCAAGCCAAGGGACATCAAAAAGAGCCCCCATCCTCCTACACCTGCTACGGTATGGCTGCCCACAAGGGAACAAGCCAAGGCAGTGTGGAAGAGGGGGATGAATCACCCATCTCAGCATGAAGCTCCGCACTGTCAAACCCGAGGAGAGAGCGCCTGGTCTTAGCAGCAGACGCAGCAGACCGCCGCCAGGTCACAGTTAATATTGAACCACCATCAGCTTAAACATCAGCGCCTTAGAAACCATGCCAGTAAGATGGTGACACACTCCTCCTGCTCGTATCTTCCATGTCTCCTCTCAAATAGCCACCGTCTCCATCTCACCCTCCTCCTCCTCCGCGGCCTCCTCATCCTGGCGCACCAGAGCATACACCTTGATCAGCGACGCGAGGCTCGCGAGCTCCTCGCCGCCAAGTGCGGCCACGGCGGCGGCGGTGGTCATCTCCACCTCACGCTCGCCCTCCATCACCATCTCCATCTCGCTGCCGCCCCACCGGCCCAGCCCGCGCACCCACGTCAGCACGCTGTTCGTGCTGCTGCCCATGTCAGCCACAGGGAGCCCCGTGGTTGTAGCTGTCATCACGAGTGCGACTGCTGCGGCCACGCCGAGAGCGGAGAGCGCAGGGGAGGCCGGAGAGGGGTAGGTCTTGTCGGCGGGAGCAAGAAGGGGCTTAGCTGCGGGAGAGGTGGCGGCTATGGCGGGGGTGGTGGCGTGATGTTCATGCTCCTCCTCCACCTGCCCGAACATCTGCATGGACACGCTTCCACCTGAAACCAGTCAAAAAGAACCAAAGATAGAACACATATAAATTTAGCAAGAGGTCGAGTCTAAAACGGAAGGGATGGTGGTGACTCGAACAGCAAAACGATCCGGAAATTGATCGCGCGCAACTCACCAAGAATCAACCCAGCGCCAACCCATCCAGC